TTAACCTAACTGTAATGGCACTTCGATCTTGATGAAAAGCTGAAAAGTGTGTTTTCTTGTTTTAACTAATTATGATCGAAAGTAACAGTCCCAGTGAAACAGTGTTGATGTGTTCATAATTTTAAAATTGAGAATTTATCTTGTAAGTCTTGGCACACAGGTGTGGGGAAAATACATAAGAGTGCAGTTGAGCGATGTACCAGATGAATCCCTGGCGAACGGTATCATACTTAAATCAGACTACTGAACCAGCCACATCAGCCTATCTGTTTAAAGTAGACTAAAAATGAACTGCAGGTTCCTGAGAATTGGACTGTGAGCACAGAAACACATGTTCATACATACAGCTGTAGCAAGCATACAGTAATTTTAAATAGTCTGCAGAGAAATGTGTGATTTACACACCGGGAGGAGATGCACCACAAGGCTGGATAGCTTGGTTGATCTCTGGATTGTGGTGGCATATTCTTTTGAAAATGGTTATTCCTGTTGTGTTGACTGTTAACATTGATTCACTCACTTGTAGGATGCAGTTTACTGTGTGTGAGATCAATGAGAAGTAAGATAATTGCAAGCATGTTTAGTACATTTATCAAGAGTGAACTTTTTCAGCAATAGGAGGTGAATGACATGACAGAAGCTTTGTGCATGGGTGGACATTTTAAGTACAAAAACAGCAAACAGGAGGGACTGTTAGAATGAATTGTTAAAAATTGCCCTTTTTCTAATTTTAATATGAATATTGCATGTTATAGTATTCATATATATCCACATAGTATTCAGTGCCTTTTAATCATAATATATAGTGTGGCAAAAATATTTGATCGTTTTGTTAATATTTTAATGTGTGACATTTATTCAGAGGTAATGTTTGAAGTATTTCTTTTACCCAGAAATCTTTTAGTCACCTTTAGTAACTAAATGTATACCAAATATTATTACTATTACTTATTGCACTTGAATCTCTCAGTACACAGTACAAATTCACACGCTGTGCTGTCACACGTTTTCCGAGACAGGATGTGTTTCTATGTTCTGTCTCTGAGAACATGATACAGTGACCACAGATTGAACCTCACATAAACTTAGGTCACGGTAGGTTTAACCTTCATCTGTAGGTTTCAGTTTCAAACAACTTGTCTGTGGTGTTGTCGCTGTGTCTGACCACATTAGCACATTATGAACTTTTAAGAAGAACATGCCACTAAACATCCTGTTCTGATTGGGGAGGGGACCAGAGAAAACTACAGAGTCTGACATTGTTTTGGCAAAGTTACACACTGATTCAATATTGATTTTAGTGACCTCTGATTGGCGTAATCAGGTGTCATTACTGCCGACGTGAATTATGATTTTACTGATTTTACGTTTACCCTTAGCCAGCAGTTTTAAATTTCCTTCAATGTCGCCTGCTCTGGCCCCTGGAAGACAATAGACTATGGTTGCCAGTGTCTCTAGCTTCACATGTCAGCTAGCGGGGACTTCGCTACCTTTGCCTGCTCCAGCTACAGGGGCCTGGCTAGCTATGGGTGTCTCAACGGTGTCTCAAGGGTGCAAAGCCAATTCAGCCTCCAGAGTTGCAAATAGGCTACATTTATTACAAGTATCATTACTGCTAAAGGAGGGTGAGGAGTAATTAAACATCTGACACAATGAGCAGGAAAGTGCAGGAGGGACAGCTGAAGACAAACAGTTTTTATTGTTAATACAGCCCTGATCAAAAGTTTAAGACCACTTAGAAAATGGCAAAAAAAAAAATAAAAAATCATATTTTACATGGTTAAATCTTAACAAGATTCCAAGTAGATGCAATGCAATTTGTTGAAAACAACTCAGCACCATTACAACAGCACCATTACACCTCCTCCTCCATGCTTCACGGTGGGAACTTTGCATGTAGAGACCATCTGTTCACTTTTTCTGCGTTGCACAAAGACACTGCAAGTGTCTTTGTAAAGATCTGAAATTTACACTCATCAGACCAAAGCATAGATTTCCGTGTGTTTCTTGGCCCAAACAAATCTCTTCTGCTTGCTGCTTTTCCTTAGTCGTGGTTTCTTAGCATCTATTTCACCATAAAGGTCTGCTTTGCACACACTCTCTGAAAAGTTGAGCAGTAGAAATATGTCTGCTACCGGAACTCTGTGCAGCATTTGTCTGGGCTCTAATCTGACATGCTATTAACATGCAATTTCTGAGGCTGGTGACTGAGATGAATTTATCCTCAGCAGTAAAGTTGAATCTTGTCAAATAGGGATGTCAGCTGTGCACCAACCTGACTTCTGACAAACACAGGTGATGGTCCCAACCACATTAGGAAGGCAAGAAAATCCACAAATGAACCCTAACAAGAAAATAAGTGTCAGAGAGAAGGTGGCCAATGATAAAGATAAGTAATCTTCTGTGATACACTACTACAATTCAGACCGGTATATCCTGCCTGTCATTCTGTGACCGCTGGGATGGACTCCAGCTCATCAGTCACACTAGATAAGTGAAGGAAAATAGATGGATGGATGAAATATATCTTATATGTAATAAAATGTATTTTGTATTTATGTCGTTAAAAATTACAAGTGATGGAATTTAGCTCAGTTGACTCAAATGCTTCAGTATACCTCTACTACACTATGTTACAGACAAATACTGATGTACTGCAACGACTATATTTTTCTAAAATCTTTATTTACTTAGATTTAAATACAAAATGCCATACTGTTACAAAAGAAAGAACAAACAAACAATCCAACGAAAATTATCATTTTGTATGATTCTGATGAAATCAAGGATACTCTGTAATACTAAATATCCTTTATGGGATGAGAAAGTCCTGCCATTACATAAGGGTCTTAAGTTAGATGTATAAGGTACTCAGAACAGGAAACAGACAGATTTTTTTTAGAAATGGGTCTGACAGGAAACAGATGGCATAAACAATTAAGACCCTTATAAAATATAGAATGCTACAGAATAGAATAGAATAGAATAGAATTCAACTTTATTGTCATTGCACATGCACAGGTACAGGGCAACGAAAATGCAGATTAAGCTACTGAAAAATTAAAAATTAAAAAATCACGTAATCATTTGCACAAGTAAAATCCAACAACACATAAAAGTAAACACCATATATCTCACATAGGTGAAAACAAAAAAAACCAGTGACACTGGTTATTTAGCTTAACATTTGACTTATGTAATGTATAACTTTTTAATGCCCTTGATACTTTCATTTTACAGTTTGTACAGTTACATTGCAGGGAGATTCACAAGGAGCAACTCAGGCAAGCACGGAGATTTGATAGGAGGTGTCTGTGTTTACCAACGTCCAGGAGCACCACGGATTCCTCAGTTAGATAAATAAACTTTTTTTTAAAATGTTCCTTCCATTTCTGTGTTTTCTAAATAATCCTCAATGTAATTCCCAGTTTCACTGGTATACAGTGGGGCAAAAAAGTATTTAGTCAACCACCGATTGTGCAAGTTCCCCCACTTAAAATGATGACAGAGGTCAGTAATTTGCACCAGAGGTACACTTCAACTGTGAGAGACAGAATGTGAAAAAAAAATCCATGAATCCACATGGTAGGATTTGTAAAGAATTTATTCGTAAATTAGGGTGGAAAATAAGTATTTGGTCACCTCAAACAAGGAAAATCTCTGGCTCTCACAGACCTGTAACGTCTTCTGTAAGAAGCTTTTCTGTCCCCCACTCGTTACCTGTATGAATGGCACCTGTTTGAACTCATCATCTGTATAAAAGACACCTGTCCACAGCCTCAAACAGTCAGACTCCAAACTCCGCCATGGCCAAGACCAAAGAGCTTTCGAAGGACACCAGGAAAAGTATTGTAGACCTGCACCAGACTGGGAAGAGTGAATCTACAATAGGCAAGCAGCTTGGTGTGAAAAAATCAACTGTGGGAGCAATCATCAGAAAATGGAAGACATACAAGACCACTGATAATCTCCCTCGATCTGGGGCTCCACGCAAGATCTCATCCCGTGGGGTCAAAATGATCATGAGAACGGTGAGCAAAGATCCCAGAACCACACGGGGGGACCTGGTGAATGACCTGCAGAGAGCTGGGACCAAAGTAACAAAGGTCACCATCAGTAACACACTACAACGGCAGGGAATCAAATCCCGCAGTGCCAGACGTGTTCCGCTGCTGAAGCCAGTGCATGTCCAGGCCCGTCTGAAGTTTGCCAGAGAGCACATGGATGATACAGCAGAGGATTGGGAGAATGTCATGTGGTCAGATGAAACCAAAGTAGAACTTTTTGGTATAAACTCAACTCGTCGTGTTTGGAGGAAGAAGAATACTGAGTTGCATCCCAAGAACACCATACCTACTGTGAAGCATGGGGGTGGAAACATCATGCTATGGGGCTGTTTTTCTGCCAAGGGGACAGGACGACTGATCCGTGTTAAGGACAGAATGAATGGGGCCATGTATCGTGAGATTTTGAGCCAAAACCTCCTTCCATCAGTGAGAACTTTGAAGATGAAACGAGGCTGGGTCTTCCAACATGACAATGATCCAAAACACACCGCCCGGGCAACAAAGGAGTGGCTCCGTAAGAAGCATTTGAAAGTCCTGGAGTGGCCTAGCCAGTCTCCAGACCTCAACCCCATAGAAAATCTGTGGCGGGAGTTGAAAGTCCGTGTTGCTCGGCGACAGCCCCAAAACATCACTGCTCTCGAGAAGATCTGCATGGAGGAATGGGCCAAAATACCAGCTACTGTGTGTGCAAACCTGGTAAAGACCTATAGTAAACGTTTGACCTCTGTTATTGCCAACAAAGGTTATGTTACAAAGTATTGAGTTGTATTTTTGTTATTGACCAAATACTTATTTTCCACCCTGATTTACGAATAAATTCTTTACAAATCCTACCATGTGGATTCATGGATTTTTTGTTTTTCACATTCTGTCTCTCACAGTTGAAGTGTACCTCTGGTGCAAATTACTGACCTCTGTCATCATTTTAGGTGGGGGAACTTGCACAATCGGTGGCTGACTAAATACTTTTTTGCCCCACTGTATGTTGTGTTGTAAATACACAAAACAAATATTTAGCAACTGTTTAAAAATCTTTCACCAGTCATGCAAGAAGAGTCAACAGCCTATTTTCTTACTGTTCTCCTCTCCATTTCTAAGCGTTGCTTTCAGGTGCCCTTTTTTGTCCTGGTTTGTTCCCAGGTTCTTGAATTAACTTAAACTTGGCAAAGGAATTCAACCACAACAGTTTTTTTTAAAAAAGCACAAACTTTGAAAGGTATCGAAAGTTTGTTAACTTGTAGGATGAAAAGACTGGTGAACACACATACAAACTTTGCATTTTTTTAATCAAACAGAAAAAATAAGAAAAGAAAAAGCAGGGCGGACAGATGCAGATCCTGCAAAAAAGTAAGTAAAAGTTAATCAAAGTCCACAACACACCCCTCCCAAGCAGGATACAAATTATAGTCTCCTAGTTGATAAGCATCTAACCCTTTCCACCTCCACCTGCACAACCTCAAAATGTGGACTTTTATCTCTCAGTCTGCAATATTCTCTTGACCATTGGATGAAGGATGATACAACTAAGGAACCTTTGGCTCTTATTTGACATCGGTGTGGCACTGGTGGCTAGTACAACTTCATTTTTTTCACTCTTGTGAAATATGAGAAAGCCACATCCAGACATCTGTGTGCATAAGATTTTTGAGTCCGCCAGAATAATCTAACACAATCATGACATAATGTTAATGAATATATCCCGGACAGGAACTGGGGACCTGCGGGGGAAAAAAAAAATTACTTTGGGCGCCACCACCTTAATACTGCAGACACTGCCACCCCTAAAAATATAAAACTGTGCATACATTAATTCATATTTAGATAAATAGATTAATAATAATAAATAATAATAATGGATTGCATTTATATAGCGCTTTTCGGGACCCCCTGTTTATCTTTTTGCAAGCTTGATGAGATATGTGCATGCCATTTGTTACATTTATTTTTTTTTTAACATTGATTAGTACTGTACACCAACTACAAATATTTTTGACTTTAAAATGGTGTAAAACACAAGTTTAAACTCTTTTATTTATAATGTAAAGTACTGGCACATATACTTCTTTGAATGTCAATTTTTAAACAAGGTATAGCCAACAAAAATATGTCCCTGTAATAAGACTTAGTGAAATTCAGGTTTCAATATGATTTAGTTTACTGAAGTGTGCAAAATATTGTCCAAAAATGCTCTGCTCACGTGGGTTATAATTATAATATATTATTATGTATTAAAAAATAAATAGTCTGTAGAATAAAAATTTAGTTTCCAAGGGGCTTTCTGCCAATTAGACACATTATTTGACATAAAAGAACTCACCTATTCTTCTTCAAGTATCAGTGGTGTTGGTGTCAGTGGTGTTGGTACGGAGAAGAGTGAGCGTGACAGCTGAGCCTGAGCAAATGGGTTGATCTGTTTGGCCTGGCAACAGGCCGGCAGATGCAGGAAAAAGTATTTAAGTAGACATATGTACAGAAGTTCTGTCTGCACTGACTACATGTTGGCTAAATTAAGACAAAACATTACTATGTGATAGAAATGAAGTAAGAAAACTAACACTAGTTTAATCTTTCATGGGGACTTTCTTAGTTTGAATTCGGATTAACGGAGCTATTCTACTGTATCTCTCTCCTGCAGAGGTACAGTTCTAGAGCTCAGCATCAGGGAGGAGGGCTTACACCTGGGAGGTGGGGGGGCAGGGTCAGAGGCTGACTAGATTTTATTCTTTGTTGACAGGAAACAAAACTAACACAGGGAAACAAATATGCTCATAAGTACCATGTGAAACAAACATTACTTTATGGTGATAATGGATACATTTTCATAATAATAATAATAATAATAATAATAATAATAATAATAATAATAATAATAATGATGATAGTAACTGAAGTTTAGTCATGGCCCAGAATCATCATTACCTTTCTTCCCTTCTCCTCTGCTAGCACAGTTGCGCATAACAAGGTATAAAGCACAATTACTTAATTCTCATTATCACTTGTAGTAATGCAAACTCAGAATACAGGCAACAAGGTCAGGTTAACATGCATTGTAATTACACGTTTCTTTCCATGCTAGATTTATACAACTAATACTGTGTCTTAATATTCCAATAATATTTTTGGGTAAAAAATATCTGACATGTAAAGAGTTAATGGAAAGACAAAAGACAAAAACAAGTTGCAGATTGTAATTTATTAATCATTGTTATAATCTGTACTGAATGCAGGTTAAAGTGAACAGATACCTGGGGGAACTTGGTGACTCTCATTTTGTGCAAGAGAACTGGGTTGCTCTGTCAGGATGTATTTTATGATCAGTAAGATCAAGACCACGATAAAGGCAATTCCAGCCCACTAAAATGAAGAAGAGAGAAAGGAAACAAAACATTAAAATCAAATATGTCATAAATGCTGTTCATAAACCACATTTTGTAGAAAGCAAATGACCTCATCTCACATATCAATTCTCACTCTAAAATTTAAAAAAACAGAATTTTACGTACCTGAGAGTAAACGTACCAGTCCTGAGATTTCTTCAGTCTGTCCTGATATAAGGTACCATTTTCTGGTTCACACCATTTCAGTGGGGCAGCTGTGTCAACAGCTACATACTTGCCTGACCAATCAGTCATTGCACAAGTAATGTAGCTGCCATTGAAGAGCAGCAGGATTGTCCACAAAAATGCAGGGATAGATCGGCGCAAGATTGTCTCTTTATTGTCTGTGTCACATGAGAACTTCTGTCCTTGCAATAAAGCCATCAGTACATAGGCCAAACCTCCAGGAATGATGAAGAATGTAGCAACAAAACCACCATTCAAGTATGGCCCTTGACAGGGGCACTCAAATTCCAGCTCCACTAACTTTTCGACGGCCATCATAACAAGTGCAAACAAAACATTTGATGCAATTGGGCCATTTTGAAATATTGTTTTCAATATTTTCAGCCACCCTGCAGACATAGACAAAATCAAAGATTAAAGTCAGAGAGATAACAAGTTTATAATTCCAAAGATACTTTTTGTGATATATTAATACTAATCATAAACAATTACTCCAACAATGGATTACAAATTGCCTTCAATATCAACCTGATAATGGAAGAAAAATGTGCACACCGTATAAACTACAAAAAACACTGAGAGAGAAGCTTTATTGATGGTCACATACACACACACACACACACACACACACATACACATACACATATATATATTAGGGATGCAACAATATTCGTATCGATATTGAACCGTTCGATACAGTGCTTTCGTTTCGGTATGCATATGTATCGAACAATACAAATTTTTTTATTTATTTTATCAACTTTTCTTCTGACATGCTGTCTATGTTAAGTGCTCAGTGGATCTGCATTCGACTACTCTGCCTAGGCTGCACTGTCAAGTGCAGATCCACTGAGCGCAGCGCAAGCTAGCAAGACAGAAGCTAAGCTCGTTGCAACATGGCAACTGCCTCAACGCTACCCGAAGTTGAACCTCCACCACCCTCATTCAAATCTGGCGTTTGGAACTATCTTGGTTTTCATGTGAAGCATGACCCTGATGGTAAGTGCGTCATGGACAAAAGTAAAACAGTATGTCGGATGTGCCACTAAAATATATATTTATAATTTTAATAACTGACAAATTAAAAAGGCATGAAAATTTTTTTGTATCGAAAAAATATCGAACCGTGACACCAAAGTACCGAACCGAACCGTGAATTTTGTGTATCGTTGCACCCCTAATATATACATATATACACATATATATATGTGTGTGTGTGTGTTTCCACCTTCCATTGTATACTCATTCTACTGCATTAACTCAAACAGTTTCTGTGTCACCAATACTAATTAAAGATGTATTTCTTTTAGTTGAGACCATAAATTTTTCTATGTCAACAGTAAGGAGTACAGATTAGATTTGTAAAGTAGGGAGGGAGGAAAAGGAAAAAGCTTTCAGAAAAATAAATAATCAAGTGAACTACTGAAAATTCTGCTTAAGTACAGTAACAAAGTATTTTTACTTTGTTACTTCCTACTTCTGTACTTTTAGTCCATGTCAGTCCATGAGCAGCAAACAGACAGAGCTTTTTTCACCAATTTTGTATAGTACTAATTCTGATTTAAATATTAATTTCTGAATGAAATTATATGCCTTACAGTTTTCTGATGCTTTTTAATTCTTTGACGTTACAACCAGCATTATATTTAAATTCTTAAATATTTATAAAGATTAAGTTGCACCAACCTGGTAATGGTTGATCCATCTCATACATATTCTACTACTTGTTAGATGCTCTATCCACTGAACACTGACACAGTATACAAAAAACTGAAACTGAGTTTCAGTTTTTCATCTCAGTCATAATAAGACACGCCTCTCTTCTTCTTCTGTTTATAGTTTCTTTTTCTTTTTAGTTTACTGTTATGTAACACAGTTAGGGGAATTGTTGAAAAGATTATATCAATGGGCCAATAGGTTCGACTATAGGAGCACAGTGGTGTGTATAAATGAGAAACAGAGACAGGAATGTAACTCAAAAGAACCAGCCGGCTTTAGTGAAATAACCCATAGGTTTGACAAGCACAGGTTAAAGGCACTTTACAATTGTGGAAAAGAAAACTTACAAAAAATGAAACAAAAGTAAGACACATAAAACTACTACTTTCGCGGCCTCGCAGTTTCACTGATTTTTTTTATGCAATTTTGAGTGCTTTTTTTTTTTTACAGCGCATTGTGTTCTGCATCATGATTGGCTGTAGAGCATTGTCAATCAATTGCATGCCATGTCTCCTGTCCAGTACAAAATGTGTTCAGCTTGTTAAATTTACTTAAATCTTTGATTGCTAGCAGTGTGACTCTGAAATGCTGTACTGTATTTTTGTAAGTTTCTCCCCAACAAAGCCTGTTTGAGCTCCCTGGGCGACCACTCCCTGGAACCATACTGAATTTCACCAGAGAAACACACACACACACACACACACACACACACATATGAAGAGAGAGAGAGTATGCATAGTATGCAAACGGCTACCAAACAGCCATCATAATTCGTCATACAATGAGAACAGGACAAATCAACAATTGACAATGACTAATTAATATTAAAATCTGTAACATAAGGTATTGTTAGGAGTTTAGTCTGTTGCTGTTACTATTTTTACCATTTCTTCTTGGAGCAACTGTAACCCACATAATTTCCTTAGGGATTAATTGTATTCTGATTCTGATTGTTTCAGGACACATGACCTGCCATTATCCAATGACACATCTGCTTACCTGTGTCTTTTGCTTGTTTCTCCTCCTCTTCTTTTGTCTTTTTTCTAAACTCAGCACCTGATGGCTTTGAATTTTTCTTGTCCATCTTTCATTGGTGTTAATTTTGCACTCCAGTATGAACACCCATCCCCCAACTCGAGGATGGCCACAACATAACCTAATAGACCTACATCTTAGTTCACAGATTCACTTTGTCTAGGGTGCATTTCTGGGATTTCGCACAACCCAGGATTCAAATCATGAACACATAATGGACTTGGATTTACAACATTATGAATGAAATGTGCTCTATTTGGAAGCAGCAGGTCTCCCTCCCCTTTCGACAGGTTGTATGTGAGACTTTAAATCATCAAACTATAAACTTTAAATTGTTATTGATCCCTTTACCCAAAGTCCTAAAGTGTATATTTATTTTCTTACTCTTCTTATATATATTGTTTGTTTACCTGCACTGCTGTAACTGAAGCCTCGTTGTCTCGTCTCTCTATATACTGGACTGTATGTAGCAGAGTTGACAATAAAGTTTACTTTGACTTCAGCAGCAAGCAGGCGCACCGAGGGCTCTTGCGCTCACTTTTCCAATATGGAACTTTGAAAAAACATTGGTGCACATTATAAGTCTGTATCATAATGTCTGGTGTTTTCGTGTTTGTTGGTTTGTTATTATTTTTGTTTTATTTTGCGAGTTGGTTATTAGATGCCGCTCCAGCCAGCCAGAGAATCCCCCACCGCCCCGCTCTCTCCTCCCTGTGCAGCAAGCAGCAGGCAAACCTCGCAAACGGAGGGCGCCCTTACTCCCAGCAAATGGGCAATAGAAAACCGATCGGTGCCTATGCCATTCCCAATATGCGCTAGCATGGCGTTGGGGCAGCATGAGAACGAGCATTTTTTTTCTCTTTTTGCCGATGCCCGTGATGACGCTCCAAACCACAATGCCGTCCCGGGCAGACGCCCATGTCGCCCATATCAACAACCACTACTGCTTGTTGTTCCTAGAGTACAATGGGAGGGAGAGCCTTCAGTTTTCAGGCCCCGCATTCTGTGGAACCAGCTTCCAGTTTGGATTCGGGAGACAGACACTATCTCTACTTTTAAGATTAGGCTTAAAACTTTCCTTTTTGCTAAACCATATAGTTAGGGCTGGACCAGGTGACCCTGAATCCTCCCTTAGTTATGCTGCAATAGATGTAGGCTGCTGGGGGTTTCCCATGATGCATTGAGTTTTTCCTTTCCAGTCACCTTTCTCACTCACTATGTGTTAATAGACCTCTCTGCATTGAGTCATATCTGTTATTAATCTCTTTCTCTGTTCCACAGCATGTCTTTATCCTGTCTTCCTTCTCTCACCCCAACCAGTTGCAGCAGATTGCCCCGCCCCTCCCTGAGCCTGGTTCTGCCAGAGGTTTCTTCCTGTTAAAAGGGAGTTTTTCCTTCCCACTGTCGCCAAAGTGCTTGCTCATAGGGGGTCATATGATTGTTGGGTTTTTCTCTGTCTATTATTGTAGAATCTATTGTACAATATAAAGTGTCTTGAGGCGACTGTTGTTGTGATTAGGTGCTATATAAATAAAATTCAATTGAATTGTATTGAATTACAACAGTAAACTACATAAAACCACATAAAATGCACATTCAAAAACTATGGCAAAGCCACATCGATCCCAACACTCAGGAAACGTAGGTCCACGCTCATCCAATGGTGAGCACAAGAGACCAAACAGAGAATGACACCACAGTCTTCTTTTTTTTTTTGCCTGTCTCGTTTGGCTCTTTTGCCATCAGAATTATTGTCTAAAGGCAAAGAAAGATGGCCAACGAATTTACTTTCCCAAATGGACCAACCCAGCCTTGCTGTATTGGTCTATTTGATTCACCTTTTATTGTTTATTTTATTTTCACTTGTTAAATACGGGACAGACTTGACAGAAAGGGGAGAAAGAATGAGGGAAAAAAACAGTGTGCAAGAGGAACGGTGATAAAGGGCAAAAAACAAAAACCAGAAAAATAAGCAGACAAAAAATACATATATCAATCACCTGGATCACCTGTTGAGAAAGAAAAAAGAGAAAACAAGCAGAAAAAATGAGCAACATAATAAACAACATCATCACGATGATCTGGGAATATAACAGTAAATACTAAATATTAAACATTATTGTGCAGCACGTAAGATCAACAGCACACAGTGTGCTTTGAGGTAGGAGCCAAAAAGGGTGTAGGTTGTGTGTGTGAGCACCCGTGTGTACACCTGTGAGCATGGACGTGCTTGTATTTAAAAGGTTCCTTCATGTAATGATCTGATAGAGGGTGTGGGGAGCCACAGCCCCGTCCTCCAGGGCATGAAGCAGGTATGGAGGAGATCAAGACTCCAGACATCCAGAGGCCCTCACAACACCAGAGACCAAGGAAGACCAACAGAGGGGCAGCAGCACCACTATCCCAGAAAGAGCTGAGGAGAGCTCCAGAGGAGGGGTCACTCAGCAGCCGCGGAGCAGAAGCCAGGGGTGGTTGCAGTGACGTGCCCGTGAGCTCCGCCGGCAGCCAGCTGTGCCAGAGTGACCGAGCCCCAGGCCGAGAGGCCGAGGGCACCCCACCCCCAGGCTCCAGGCCCCGACAAGCAGCCACCAGGAGTGAGCCAGTGTGTACCTGGATGCCCATCCCAAGACACAAAGAACCACCAATGCACTGATGTCTCAGGGCGTCTGCCACAGGCAGGGGAAGTGGTGGGGGGAGATAGGCCTCCATACCTTGGAGGGCCTGAGATGTCCCCAGAGAGGTGGCGTCTGATACCTGACCTGACATATAGACACAGATACAAACATCCATTCCCACCCTCATGCTCTCATATTGCTCAACACTCACCCAACGTGGAGACAGACATAAATAGACACTGTACACAGAATCACACTCGCCAAGCGTACTCTAAGCCCCCAGGTCTAGGTACCCTTGCCCGATGGACTAGAGGTAGGCCTCCTGAACTGTTGTCAGCCTCTGCCTACCCACAGCGGGTCTCACCTGTTTTGCCGCCCACCTAATGGCAGTTTGCTGCCATTAGGGCGGGGGTTGGACTAAAGAACTGAGTTTTTCGTTTTTGTTGTTTAGTGGTGTTGTCGGAGAGGTTTTGGGGCCCTCCGTCCTGGACCCCCCACAACCCGCCCTGGGTTGGTTTCCTGTTTTTTGCTTTTTTGTTTTAGGGTCGTCGGGAGCCGACCTTTAGAGGGGGGGGTACTGTCACGGACCCGGCTCTGGAGGACTCGGGGGTCCGTGAGCAGGATGGACCATTATTATTATTATTATTATTAGTGTTGTTGTTGTTATTTGGGGATGTGTGTTTTTCTGCACTATGCTGTGTTCGGTGTTCCACTCGTTATATGTAGAGGCAGGGTGTGTGGGTGTGTACATGTGTGGCTGGAGGATGGAGAACAGCCACATGCAGGCCTGATGGGTGTGGCCCTGCAGGAGGACTGGCCACACCTGCAGTTCCTGCCACACACCTGTTGGTGATCAGGGCTCGTCGGGGGAGCTACTTAGGAGAGTGTTGGAGCTCCCACCGGCGCAGGATCATTGAGTTGTCTACCCAAGTTAGTGTGTGTCAGTGTACGACGGTGCAGTTCGTGTATGCCCGCCAGGGTTGGTGTTGATGGCTGTTTGTGTGGTTTTCCCCCCAGGTGGAAGAGTGGACCAGAACAGCAGCACGCACAGGTGTGCGAGAACACAACAGCGGGGAACACACACACGGGATTCAAGGGAGCAACCGGGAGTTATTGTGTTTACAGCCTTCACTGTAAATAAAGTGCACTGTTTCCATCGCAGAACCATGCGTTTTGGGTCCTCATTCCCCCATATCCCCACGGTCTGCCAGCCAGACCGTGACACCCGGCATGCAATGCGCGAAAGTCACGTGGTCTGTCAACCTCTATAGGGTCAAAATTCGTACTTGTAAGTTGAAACTTGAGTGAAGAGTTTCACACGTACTTTTTTGCTATGTGAACACACAAATCTTTTGTACACACACACAAATTTTTTTTACACATACAATCCTGATTTACAAGTACAACAAATTTATGACCACAAT